CACACACACACACACACACATATATATATATATATATATATATTATATATATATATATATATATATAACAAGATTCAGTTTGTACGCTCGTCGGATACACATAGTTCTCTCAGTAGTTCAGACGTCTTATGTATGGAGACATAAGGGCAGGTCAGATATATAACGCCGTGGCTATAGCTCAAATATACATAGTGATATCTGCTACTCCCACTATGTTACCTATGGTACATGCGGCATATGCACATATATCAAATACGAATGCATCGAATGTGACAACCTGTAGTACGTGGTTGTTGATGTTGGCCATACGCACGCACAACAGACTCGCATACTACAAATGTGACAATCTGACGTTAACATGTGTGCATGGTTGTTGTTGTTGTAGCGCTTACGCACACATCACATACGTCACCATCTACGACTGCAATGAATCCGCAGCGAATGAAACGGAGATCATACCGGCTTCTGTGAAGGTATGAAATTTCAAAGGCTCTCCCTGCCTCGCTGAATAAACTTTGTTTTTGGTGTCAAAATATACCGTGGTCGTCTGTATAGAACAAACTAAATATTGGTTGTATGCATCGAATGTAAGAACCGAATAAACTTTGTTTGTATATGGACCATTTGTTAGGTCAATGTGTTGTTGCTTGGTGTGCGTTGTTGTGTTGTTTCTTGCGTCACCTGACTGGGGCGAATAAACCATGATTGTTTGAGCCGCATAAACTTATTTTTTTGAGTTGAATAAACCTGGTTGTACGTTTCGGATAAACCTTGGGCCAATGTATGGGTGTTTGGATGTGCACTGTCTCGCAGCTGCTTGCGTCCCCTGCTTGGCTGCTTTGCCTGAAATGGGGTCTATGTATCTGTACCTTTATTGGGGCTTTTGTTATTGGTGTGTATAGTGATCAACTGGATGCTCATTGGCCGACATATGTTTCAGATTCGTTTAGCGATCATCTTGTTGGTGCGTATAGTATTCAACTCAATGCTCACTGGATATTTCTTTTGAAGTACAGTCTATCAATCATGCCCATTGGTCCTGCGTATAAATTATCTAGATTCTCACTGGTGTATTCTGGCTTTTGGTCGGTGTGGGTTCTCCTGCTGTCAGTCGTTTTAAATGACACTTATTTGTTTTACTTATCTCTCAATCTCTCAGGGCTTGATCGAAACGACCGCAAACACATCGATTGCGAATTCCAATTTTGCGAACTGCACTGGACAGGTGAGACACCGTACATGCAATTATGAATGCCTATGTAAATATGTTTGTATATGCATATATGTTTATGTATGTATCAATGCCCATGTATATATGTTTGTGTATGTATGAATGCTTATGTATATATGTTTGTGTATGTATCAATGCCCATGTATATATGTTTGTGTATGTTTAAATGTCTATGTATATATGTTTATGTATGTATCAATGTCCATGTATATATGTTTGTGTATGTATGAATGCCTATGTATATATGTTTATGTATGTATCAATGGCTATGTATATATGTTTGTGTATGTATCAATGCCTATGTATATATATTTGTGTATGTATCAATGCCTATGTATATATGTTTGTGTATGTATGAATGTCTATGTATATATGTATGTGTTTGTATGCATGCCTATGTATAGATGTTTATATATGTGTTGTATATCATATACAACGTGTTTGTGTGTAACAATGTCTATATATATATGTTTATATATATATATTGTGTATTATATATGGCTTATTCTGTCACACATGATTTATACGGTCACACAAATGGCTTATTTTTTCGCACACCTGGACCATTCTATCACACAAACTGATTATTTTCTCACGCACATGGCTTATTCTATCACATGTTTTATACTGTCGCACAGATGGCTTGATTTTCGCACACAAATTGTCTATTCTCTCACACAAAAGGCTGATTTTCCCACACACCTGGCTTATTCTATCACATGTTTTATACTGTCGCACAGATGGCTTATTTTCTCACACAAATGGTCTATTCTCTCGCACAAATGGCTGATTTTCCCACACACATAGCTTATTCTGTCACATGTTTTATATTGTTGCACAGATGGCTTATTTTCTCACACAAATGGTCTATTCTCTCACACAAATGGCCTATTTTCCCACAAACATGGCTTATACTGTCACATGTTTTATACTGTCGCACAAATGGTCTATTCTCTCACATAAATGGCTTATTTTCTCACACACATGGCTTATTCCTATCGCACATTTGTTTTTATTTCCATAGTTTCTGTCTGGGATTTACACGACTGCATCGGTGGCCGTGTACTACTCCGAATTCTTCAACCTCACCTCCACGGTAAGCGAGCGCACCAATCAGAGGGCGCGGGTACCGTTTCTAAATTTAAGCCAAGCAGAACACTGGACTTCTATAAATAGTTTAAATGATATTTCACTGTGCTGTAACACTGTGTACATGTACTATAGTAATATGATAAAGTACGGTGATTTTACGTTATCTTAATGTTATGTTACTGTACTATAATCCTATGCTCTGGCGCTGTGATGGTAGGTTAATGTACTGTGATTATACGTTATCTTACTTTTTATTATATTACTATACTATAATACTATGCTCTGGCGCTGTGATGGTATGTTTATGTACTGTGATTATACGTTCTATTACTTTTTATTATATTACTATACTATACTACTATGCTCTGGCGCTGTGATGGTATGTTTATGTACTGTGATTATATGTTCTATTACCTTTTATTATATTACTGTACTATACTATTATGCTCTGGCGCTGTGATGGTATGTTTATGTACTGTGATTATACGTTATCATACTTAATGTTATGTTACTGTACTATACTACTATGCTCTGGCGCTGTGGTGGTACGTTTGTGTACTGTGATTATACGTTATCATACTTAATGTTATGTTACTGTACTATAATACTATGCTCTGGTACTATACTGGAATGTCACATGTACTGTGATGATATAGTATCATGCTGTCATGAAGTATTGAAGTACCCTCAGATACACTCATACACTTCGCTGATAAATTGCTGCACCTCTTGTATGGGGCTATATACTGCAATGACTACTGATGTAATGTATTCTACTACACCAATCCGTTTCATCGGTACGTTAACGTCTTTCATAGAAAGGCCACTGATATCACCTCTCACTGTCATGGCATCGTACGTTTATTCTCACAGGACGACCACAGTGGAGGGGCCGCAATCAACGCAAAGGGCGCCGTGTATGCGACCGACAGCTTATTCCACAGCAACAGTGCCGCGGTAAGTACATGCATACACAGGGTTTGCCGGTACATGCAAACCTGGGTTATTGGTACAAGCGAACCTATTTTACTGATACACGCAAACTTGTAGTATGAAACACGTATATAGTTGAATAAGAATATTAGAGACCTTTAGACCACTTACTGATTCCTGTTGGTTCTTTTTCCATTGCCCAATTAGATGGGAGGAGCCGTCTGGGCGCAACTAACACCCATGTTGTCGTACTGCGAGTTCATAAACAATACGGCAACGAAACAAAGTCAGGTATGTGTTCTGTGAATTGTAATTACACACACACACAGACACACACACGCAGACACAGACACAGACACAGACACAGACACAGACACACACACACACACACATATCAACACACACACCCACACACACACACACACACACATATATATAGATAGATAGATAGATAATTGGATAGATAGATAGGTATGTAGGTATATATATATATATATATATATATATGTGTGTGTGTGTGAGCGAATACATAAACAGTGTAGTAGGTGTGTGACACGTGTACTGCTAAGTCCACAAGCGTACATGTGTGCAGGATGGTGTGTTTTTAGAATGTATATACTATACGTATATCACGATGGAATATTGCAAACTAAAGGTTTAGTTGATGTTTGCCAATAGTTAGGGTACGTGATGTCAGGCTGCTGTATGTGGGTTACGAGAACTTAAGTTCGCTCAGAAGTAAACGTTAAGCTGTGGAATGGTGTAATATATATAGATGATGGCGACAGTATCATCCAATAGGGAACGGTTGCCATAGTATAGGGCAGCAGTTCGTGTCCGTAGGACTTAACTAGTTGTAGGCGCCATACGAGCGTGGGCTGGCGTATAGAAGTAGACACCGTGAAGTAATCAGTCGTCAATTGTTTCTTGAAGCTATTATACTGCCTTGATACACAGTAAACGATCCATACATCCCACTTTGGATTTGTTGGTTTGCACTTACAAAGCACACACACTATA